GCACTGGTCAGTTTGGCTCGCTCACGCTGTTTCTACAATGGCGAGCTTGCTCAGGGGGCAAAGGGCGTAATGCCTTCATTACTGCCATGACCTCGGGTGAGGTGAGGCGGGTTGCTTAGTAGGCGTCGAAATCTAGAATGCTAGCTCTACGACAGCCTCGCAAGATACGCCGCTTCGTGAAAAGATCGTTTCGACTTGCTGCGCGCGCAAAACACCCATTTTTTGGCCAATTAGAATCGTTGGCGCCGAGTCCAGAGAGCTGGGCATTGAACTCGAGCGTACTCGCGGAGAACATCAACCCAGCAATGTGTGCTTGCGCAATGATGCTGCTAACCTTTTCTCAACAGTAATGCCTTGTGTATGACCCGATATGGCGGTTCGTAGAGTCTCTAGATACCACAGCCCTACTGTAGCTTATAGATCGTGACGACTTTCTCGAGAATAGAGGATTTTCGTAACTCATTTACTTTTAACTTTGACTTTACTTTTGAACTCTACTTTTGAATTTCAACGAAGACAAAAACGCATATTTCGAAAGCCCGTTGAAACTCAAAAGTCGTTTGTGCCGGATAAATGTACGGATACGAGCACGCGGCTGCCGCCACTTGAGGCGATACGCCAATTAAGGGGCGTATCGCCGTTTAATTGGGACTTTAGGAGCTACTGGCATTGCTCTATTGAAACTTTATATCCTTGGAAATCGAATACGGGCCATGCCGATCAAATACCAAAGGGCGTGCTTTAGCATTCTATTGCGTCGGGGCGCACCAGGCCGCGCGGTCGGCGCAGCGCCAGCCACCCACGCCGTTGCCGCCGAAGTCGATGCCTCTAGCAGAACCCTCCTAGACAGCATCTTATTGCGCGCCATCCATCGGCGCGTCCTCACACAGCTAGCACGCGCCTTCTTCACAGAGATGACCACCGCGCGCGCTTCCTCGGCCACCGCTGTCGCCGCCTGGACGTGAGTTCACGGCACTTGCGAATATAGCACCGCGATGAGTTAGCGCGCTGGTTCTGCTTCAAGGTCGCACTGTGCTATGCACACCTAGCCACCTAGGCCGCGCCGACATACTATCTCGTTTCGCACAAATACTCATCGACTCCCTTCGCCACGAGACTGCGCCTCCCAAGCGCACTCTTATCAAGCCAGAATCATCATCCACGATTGAAGCAGTCTCATTAACTTGAACATGCAGTACTACCCATCGGCTTCGACCGCTTCTCGTTGCCGCTTACTTCGTACTAGTAGTATTCGTTGTTGGTCGACCTTGCCGCCGCATCAGCGAGCCTTCGTCGAACGCGTTTGCTGGCGGCACCGCTGTCGGCGCAGGGCATCCGCGGCGCGGGTCGACGAGCCAGCTATCTGCCGCGAGCCAACGAAAGTAGATCTTGAAGCGCCCGTCAATGGCCGATTGGCCTATGCGCAGGTTGGGCAATGCCCTACCAGAGCAACACTTATGTGAGTGTGCATGCGCGGGCAGCACGATGCGCGTCGCTTTACATACCTTGCGGGATCTGCGCGTCGCCTCGGGGGTTCTCTCGCGCTGTCATGCAGCGGCGTGGCGTCTCCTCGGGTGCGACCGCCGTCCCTAGTGATGAGGTGAGGGAAGAGTGGAGCGCGAGGCGACGCGCGTACAGTGCAGGGCGCCGACGGGGGGCCTAATCGTAAGCGGCGCGGTCGAGCGCCGGGAACGTGTAGCTCGGGTTCTTGATACCGCAGTTGGGCGACGCCGACGCGCACACCCGTGCGTGACGAGTGTACGCGGCGGAAAGATCATCTTGAGGGAGCGCAGGCTGTGGGTATTGGGAGAAAAAGCGCGCGTCTCGGCCTCATGCGTCGCTACGGCGACTCCAGCGGTCAGTCGTGAGGCACGTCGCGCCGCGCGCGGCCGCTGTGGACTGCATGCTGACTGCGGAATGGCGGCATTCCGGCCACGGAAAATTGGGTAATTTTGCCCAATAATAATACCGCGTGAAGGAATGACTCGATTCTTGTATACGGGCCTTAGCGGCGGCCTTAGAAAAAGCCTGCATTTTGTCCAATCAGAAGGGGCAAAACTGGCCAAGCTGGTCTTTCGATACCCCGTTCTGATTGGGCAGCGACTTACTGGCCCAGCTCGTATGACGTAATCAAGCTATCGCGATTACGTAATCCGGCGATGGCGCTGGCGCTGGAATAAAATGATGATAAAATAGGATCCAGGACTTTTTCCCTCTCTTTTTCTATGCGGCGCGCCAGTAAATTCAACACTCCCGGACTACTGGCGCATCGCCCCACTTGATGCCACCAGTTATTATAAGTAAGGCTGATGCGCAGCGAAGACGGGGAGACGGCTGTACAGTGTACTAGCCAGCCCTCGCAAGCATCAGCAGGGGTCGAAGCCGTTGTCTAAGTCGATTCGCGGCGGGGGTCGCTGTATACGGAACAGACGATTGACGCGAAGATACACTGCAAGATGCGCATAACTCGCACGCCTCGACACGCGGCATAGAGCGCGAGCACGAAGTTAGCCGCTTGAGCCGAGATCAGTGGAGGCGATCGACTTCGCCGAGCGGCCGCCGAACGCTTACGGATACGACTGCCGGATACCGAAACGTGCAGTCCCGAAAAGTCAAATGAGCGTTGAGTTTTTGGGCCCATTTGCTCAACGTTGACTGTCGCCCGAGTCGTGGACTTTTTTCAACAGCCAATCAAATTGCAGAAAGCGAAACTCAAAAGTCAAAGTCAAAAGTAAATGAGTTGCGAAAATCCTCTAATATTGGCCAATAACACGTTTTTCTACCATGAAGTGGACACACATGGCCTTCTCGAAGACCGTCCAAACGGTAGTACGCGCAAATAATATTCCGAATATGATCTTATATCGAAAACTATGTTCTTCTATCCTAAGCTAGAGGTGACGGAAGCACCTCTTCCAACTGATCGATCGGGGCTAGAGCTATTTCCTGCGTCCCAACACATCATGGTGCATGTTGAAGGTGGTCGGTGGCTGGCCCTGCCTGCATTGGTGGCAGGGGTACATAATGTACCTCGGTCACCCAATTTGACTCATCCATCTCGACCGTTTTGGGGCGAGGGCGTCAACGCTACCTCCCCTGCGTTCCTACTGGACGAGCGTCATTCGTGCTTGCCGGAGAAAACAAAACGATGTGTTTGCAGCTTGTCATTGTACTACTACAAGCAATCACTCAACGGCAGGCGTTGATGTGCGGTGCGTAATTTTAGGCCTCTGGCTGTGGCCCCCTTCGTCGGCCACATTTGGCTCTGCATGGCGCCGTCCACACCTCGGTACGATGCGTCGACGGTCGACATTTGGGCGCTCGGCATCACGATCGTCGTCGGCGGTCAGTATTTCTCGTGGAACACGGGTCTTGTCGCTGGCTTTTACAGCTACCTCGGCGCGACGCTGCTCATGGGTGTCGCGTACTGCTGCATGGTGTCTTGCCTCGCCGAGATCTCGAGCGCGCTGCCGTTTGCTGGCGGCGCGTATGGTATTGCGCGCTGCTCGCTCGGCTTTTACCTCGGGTTTATGATGGGGTGCTGCGAAACCCTCGAGTACATTGCGTACGTTGCGTCGTCAGTCTTGATGCTCGGGAAGATGGTCACGACCATGATTCCGGCCATGGAGCCGATGCAACCGGTCCTTTGGCTTCTCATTTACGCTGCCGCGCTAAGTGTCCACCTCGTGGGCGGTAAACTCTTTTGGCGCGTGAACCGGATGCTTGCAGTCGTCTCGCTCGTGATCATTGCCGTGTACGTTGTCGGCTGCTTTAGCTTACACACGACCGATTTGACGGCGTTCAGCGACGAACGCCATGGGTTCGATACCCGCCAAGTGCTCCACGTGCTCCCGACGACTGCGTGGTTCTTTGTCGGTATCGAGTCGCTCAATTTGGCGAGCGACGACGCGACGTTGCCTCGGCGCGTCATTCCGCGCGGCCAGCTCGCGTGCATGGCGACACTGCTGCTCTCGGGCATTCTCGTGCTCGTCGCATCGTCCTATGTGTCGCACGGGAACACGACCCTGCAAGACGATACGATTCCGTTCAACAATGGTACTCCGCTCGACGCTTTTCCAACATTTCATTTTGAGTTTCATGTCCTTTTCACTAGGGTTTATAAAGATGTTTTCCATTTCCGCCTCGGCCGCCACACTCTTGTCGCTGCCCGCCACGTTTGCCACCATCTTTGGCTTTATGTATTCGTACGGCAAACTCACGATCGCAATCGCAGGCTCCCAGCTCCTCCCACCCCTCTTTCTACACACGTGGTTTCCGCACCGCGTGCACGGCCCCGCGCTCCTTCTCACGTCAAGCGTCGGCTACAGCGTGTGCCTCATCACGTATTTCGTGCCGTCGATCGGCGACTCGCTCTTCTCCGTGTGCATCTGCAGTGCGTTCTGCGCCTACATTGCGCAGTGCATCGGGTTTATCTACCTCCGGCTCTCGTTTGCGCACCTCGAGCGGCAGTATACAAGTCCGCTCGGCATCTACGGCGCCGTCGTGCCGCTGTGCGTGTGGCTCTTGAACCTCGTGTCGATCGTCGGGTTCCAGAACGACGGCCAGCGCGCGGTCTTGGCGTTTCTGGGCATGTGGGTCGTCTTTACCATCTACTATTTTGCCTACGCCAAGGCGCGACAGACGTTTTCGGACGACGAGCGCAAGATCTTGTTTGTGGCCCACATTGCCATTTGTACGCACCACGTCTTTTGAAAGATTGAAAGATTGATAATGCATGCTTGTCGTGAGTAGTCAACAAGGCCCGCGCGAGCAACAAGAACCAGCGCAAGAAGAAAAGCAACAAGCCATCGATTGTCAACAAGCGCTCGACGACGACGACCAAGTCGACCAAGACGACGGTCGAAATGGGGTCGTCCAAATCCGGTGACGTGACCCCGATCACGCCCGAGCTGCAACGCAAGTCGTCGGCGATTCCACCGTCCACCCGGCGTAAAAGCAGCACCGTCACCGTCATGATCGTCCCCGTCGGGAGTAGCACCAAGGGCCAAGTCCGCGAAATTGACGGCCGGTGACACACCCCGTGACGCGTCTGGTTATATCACGAGGGTAATATATATATACTGCAGCGGGTAGGGTTGCTTACGTGTGCCGGCAATATATAGAGAATATATGAGAAAAAAAGCTAAAGCAGGCCAACCACGGCCTTGAGGTGCTTGGTTTCTTGGTGGAAAAAATCGTCCACGCACTTGTCGACGCTCTCGTTGTACAGCGGTGGCTGGAAGCCCTCGTAGACAGCCTAATATCAGGACGATGAGACATGATCTCCATCGATCGATTGCGTCACGCACCCCAAAGATATATCCAATATCGGCATAAATATTGGGCATGGCTTGCGTGACGCCCTTCGGATCGAGCGACGCCTTCATCTTGGCTTCGAGCTGCAGCTTGCGGTACGTAAAGTCGTCCACGAGGCACTACGCAAGTGTACGAAATTCAAGAAAAATCAAGAAATGGACCCCATCATACCTGCAGCTTGGTCTCGGCCTTCTCGATGGCCGCGGCGCCTTCGCCAATCATCTGCTGCAGACCCGCGAGGTTTTGCTTGTGGTAGCCCATTTGCGTCACCATTTGATCCATGTAAGCCATGTGCGACTGGATTGCTACGCACATAAGATTGATAAGAAACCCCATGCTTCACTGTCCAAACCAACCTGGCGACGGCGTGTTGGTCTTGTTCCAGCCCATGTTGGAGAGCGACCCGATACTGTTGAGCGCATACATGGCCGGCCCGTCCGTCTCTTCCCGCGGGTCGAGGAGCGGCGTCGTGTTGAGCACCTCCTGCATGCCCGCCTTCATTTCGGCGCACGCGTCCATCATCATGTCGAACGACGCCTGGAGCTTTCCGAGCTCGCTCTGCAGCTCTACGCAGCTCGGCTCGAGGCGCTGCATGAGCAAAAGCATGCCTTGCAGCGACCGAAGGCTGTCTTGCTGCACCATGCGCTGCTGGAGCACCGAGGCGCCGTTGAGGAGGAAACGCAGGTACATACCCAGCACGTGCAGCAGCTGCTGGCGGTACTGCTGCAGCTGCGAGAGGAGCGTCGGTGACGTGACGACGCCGACGGCCTCGTAGACCGCGCAGAGGATGTTGAACGCGTCCATCTCACTGCGATCGTCGAGGTGGATCGTCGTTTGCACCGTCGACCGCGTGTTCCACGAGAGCGCGCCGATGGCCTGGACGACCTGGCGCACCAAAAGGAGCGCATCCAGTGCCCCTACACCGCCAGAAATCAGATCTCAAACTGTCCTCCGCTCTTCGTATTACCCATGGGCGGCTCGGGCGCCGCGTCGTTACGCGAGATCGGCGCCGACTTTGGTGCAGGCGGCACGGCCACGTCCGGAAGCAGCATCTCGGACGTCGTGCTGGCGTTCTGCGCCGACGTGGTCGAGACGCCAAAGAGTGAAAAGACCGAGTTGCCGAGGCCCTTGACGAGGTTCGTCGACTCTTCTTGGAACGTCGGCACACGCGGCTTGACCATCGTCGTCGGCGGGTTGGATTTCGGCGCGCGCGCCACCACCATGGCCGTGTTGAGCACGGTTTCGCCTTCCGGCTCGCCTTCGTCCCCTTCTTCAATCATTGTAATCTCGGGCTTGTGCAAGACGCGCTGGCCGTCGACCACCATGGGCAGCCCCAGCGTGCCGCTAATCTGGTTGCAGATCGTGCTGTTCTCGTTGACCCAGTGGCCAGTCGCTTCCCGAAACTACAGATTCAATACCGTCTACATATACCACTTGACGAGGTTGAAGCCTACCTCGTGCAAGAGCCGCTGGACGCGCGCCGGGTCCGTGTTGCGGTGAATCATCTGGATCGGCTCGACGGTCGCGGCAATGTCGTTGGCAATGTAGTTTTGTAAACTCAGCACTTCCTTGAAGCAGTGGCGCCAGTTGCGCTCCTGCGTCGACTTCATCTTGTCGAGCTCCTGCACGCCGAGCTGCGTCATGTCGTTCACGAGCCGACGCATCTCGCCCTGCACGGCTTGCCACGACTGCATGAGCCGCCGGACCTCATCCCCACCAGGGCCATACACGAGGAGGTCGCCGCCGGGGCCTGCGAGGAGCCGCGCCTTGCGGCAGCTCACAATCAAGTCGGCCATGAGCTTGAGCATACCGTGCATGCGCACAAACGACTCTAGCACCCTCATGAGCCATCGAGTTGCGAGGTGGAATGCGATACCGTAGGCCGTCGGCGCGCTATCGGCAGGGAGCGCCACCAGGCCCGAATTGGAGGCCTTGAAGAACTCGACGGGCGCGACCTGCGAGTTGCTCTTGGTGAGCACCGCGGGAATGATCGCCGTCGTGTCCATGTCGCAAAAGACCGCCGACGTCTCCATCGACTTGGCCTCCTCGGGCGTCCACTGCAGCATGAGCGGCTGCGGCGCCTTGTCCTTCTGGTTGGTTGCATACGGACTCTCGGGGAAGAGCTCCTTGAAAGACGGCGTGTTGAGAAGCAGCTGCATCATCTGCCCCGACTTGGTGTTCATCGCGTCCTACATGCAAGATGAGCGCCGGTCGAAGCGCGGCGATGGACCTTCATGGCCGCGTGCTGCTGCGACTGGAGGTTGCTAATTGTGCAGTCGTTGGGTGCGTTGGGCGTGTTGCGGAAGACGTAAAAGAGGAACTGGACGCCGTGGATGAGCGCGTCCGTGCCCTTGGCTTCGAGGATCGTGAGCTGCTCCTTGGCCGATGCATGCGCCCGCTCCGTCTCGATGATGGGCAGCACGCTAGAAACGCAAAGTTGAGACGACAACGTATGCATCGCAGCAGTGTATACCGGTATTCGAGGATCTCGCGCACGTCCTTGAGCGTTGCCATGAGCGACCGCTCGCCCGACCCGCTCGTAAAGAGCTTTTGCTGGCCATATTGGATCTTCTTGATGTACTGCATCCGGCACTCGACCTGGTTGACAATGTACTCGGTCGTGCAGGTCGCCGACGCGAGCGTGTTGAGCGCCCACGCCTTGATCTCTTCGAGGAGCAGCGTCCGCGGGTCGTTGAGGTACGCGTTGAAGAGGACGCGCTCGTGGCGGTCCTTCTGGTACGCGCAGATGCTCGAGATGATGCCCTCGGCTGGGTTCTTGAGCAGACCCGTCATGTCCTGCATCTTGCGCACGAACGTGTGCTCGTCAAAGTCGGCGACCTGCGGCGAGTAGAGCGGGACGCGGAACTTGTCGTCCATCTGCAGGATGTGGGGCAGGTCCTTCGGGTCGACGTTGTACACCTCGCAGTACGTCTTGTGGAGGAAGCCCATCTGCTCGACCTCGAGGCCCGAGTACCCTCGGTCCCATGGGTTCCATCGGACACCGGCCATGCTGCTGCTGCTAGTACGGCGAAGACGACGAAAGCAAGTATTGCAGCCCGAGCAATCTACGATTAAGCAGCGCTTCACTATGGTATACAAACGATACATGGGCAGCTGCCTTTTTTCGTACTTTGGGGAACCATATAAATATCAAGTGCATTGCCAACGGCGCGAGGGGCGGGTTGATAGCGCACTTTATCGGACATGCCTGTCATTGACATGGGCTAAACACACCCAATCTGGGCATGGCGTCATCTGGAGTGCTTGATGATGGGGCAGGATGACGATGATGATGCAGGATGCTGGTGCTGCAAGGCATGGAGGAGGACGGCGTGATGTCCGTGCGTTTCCTTGCGGCGCGAGAAGGTGCGAACGGGCGCGGCGTCTCCTGCAGGATCTCGCCGGCCACCAGCCGCTGTGAGCAACGCCGCTGTGTAGAGTTGGGTGCACACAGATCGCCGCCGCTTGCAGCGACAACGAGCCTTTTCTCGAAGCTGCGGAAGGCCATAGTCGTGAAGCAGCCATATTCATGCAGCTAGTACCTCGCAGATGGGCAGCGAGTAGAACGTACTAGTAGCGTGGACAGAGTTAAGGGTGTGTAGCCAGCTAACGAGTGTAAAGTCAGCAGGATGCGCGTCGCATCTTGATCGTGGCGCGCTGTCCCAGCGCGGCATGTCTCTTGATCCCATTCAACTTGACGTACAAATGAACTAAAGCCTCTATCATCCCACCATACAAAAGCTAGGTGTGCACGCTGTTCTCCTGACGGCAAAGCTCAACTTGACACCGTAATTATCAAGTCGCGGAAATCACACCATAAAATAACAGCATGGAGCTGATGCTTGTCGCCACTCTCTCTCTCTAGCCCGCCGTGATGGTGCGGAGCTGGCTCGACGTAATCTGGGGCATCGGCGGGAGGCCCTTGAGATGCAGCGTATCGGCAATGTGGCTACAAGCGCTCGCGTTCTCAACGACCCACTTGCTCGTCTGGGCCTTGAATTCCTAATACAAGTTGCGCATGAGACGCTGCCTCTTCATCACAACACGAGTGCCTTGGCTTGCTGGAGGACATAGGCCGGCGACGTCGCCTCGCAAATCTTGCGGATCGGGTCGTTGCACGCAGACACGTCGTTGGCGAGGTACGTCTCGAGAGCTAAAACGCGGGAGAAGCAGACGCGCCAGTTCTTCTCGCTGTACGACGACCGGAGCTTATCGAGCTCGTTGACGCCGCGCTGCTTGAGCGTCGTCGCGCACTGCACAATCTCCATTTGCACCTGCGCCAGCGTCAGAATTCCAAGAGCAACAACTATGACACCATACCGCCTGCATGGTCTCAAGGAGGAGGCGGAGGTGGGCGCCGCCAGGACCGTAGACGAGAAGGTCGCCGCCTGTGCCCGCGAGGAGGCGCGCTTGGCGGCACGACACGACGAGGTCGGCGAGCAGCTTGAGGAGCCCGTGCATCTTGGTGTACATGTCTACCGAGATGTGAGCGTCCAAGTCCAATGCAGACGAATGGAACCATAGTCCTCGGGGGTTAAAAACGTAATGACGCCCGAGTTGCTCTGCGTTAAAAAGGCCTTGGGGGTCATTTCCTTGGGCGTGAGGATCGCTGGAACGATCGCCGTTGCGGCCGAGTCGCAAAAAACCTATTTTACGTCAGCGCGTCCATAGGCAAGCGTGCATCTACTAGTACCGCATCCGACTGGATCTGGAGCTGCTGTTCGCTTGTCAACGCCATGAGCTTGCTCTCGCCGCCAGTGACGTGGTGGTGACTCTCGGGGAAGAGCTTGCTATCATCATCATCATCCTCGTATGCAGTTGCATGATGAAAGACGAGTCGCGGTACCAGAACGACGGCGTCGACAAGAGCAGCTGCAGCATCTGGCCCGACTTGGAGTTCATCGCGTCCTAAAAACCGACCAGGCGTGAGCGCAGCTCTAAGATCGGAGAGGTGACCTTCATGGCGCTGTGTTGTTGCGACTGGAGGTTGGTGATCGTGCAGTCGGCCGGCGCATTGCTCGTGTTGCGGAAGACGTTGAAGAGGAACTGGACGCCGTGGATGAGCGCGTCCGTAGCGCGCGCCTCGACGACGGTCAAATGGTCCTTCGCACTCGCCTGCGCGCGCTCGCAAGCAATCGTCGGCAGCACGCGGTTTTCCAAGATCTCGCGAATGTCCTTGAGCGTCTTGAGCAGCGAGCGCTCGCCGCTGCCGGGCGCAAAGAGGTCGCCGCCCACGTACTGCAGCTGTGTGATGTAGTTCTTGCGCTTCTCGACGTCGCGTTCGACCGACTCGGTCGTGCACGACGCCGGCGCGAGCCGCGACATGGCCCACTCCTTGATCTCTTCCAGCAGCAGCGTGCGCGGGTCGTTCATGTAGGCCGAGCCAAACTGGAAGCGGTCCGCGCGCTCCTTTTGGTAGCCGCAGATGCACGAGATGATCTCTTCCGCGGGCTGCCGCAGCAAGCCCACGACGCCTTGCATCTGCCGTACAAACGTGTGCTCGTCAAAGGACGCCTTCGTCGGCACGTAGAGCGGGGCCGTGAACGTCGCGTTCATCTGCAGCGTCGGCGGCAGGTCGATGGCCTCGATGCCCATCGCCTCGAGGTATACGCGGTGCACGAATTGCATCTGCTCGATCTCCTTCCCGGCGTAGTTGACGCCCCATGGGTTCCATCGGATCGCCGACATCGTCGTCGTCGGCGTGCTTGTCTGATTGTGGGTTGCAAAGCCAGCAAGGGCGTTGGCTGCGTTTTTCTGGGTCAAACCATTTAACGCACTTGGCCAATGTCGCGTGGGCTGGAGTGCACGCGCTGGAAGGCGCGTCCACGCCGTCGGAGCCAGCACACTAACGCTGGAGGCACGTGCGATAGCAACGTGATACGATTGCAATGCACCGCTTGCCCGCCCCGTGGCGCCTACAGTTTACCCTACAGCGTTTGACGTCTATGGCGTTCAAGTAGGTAAAAGTCATTAGACACCCTTTCTTTTCCAGTTCCCCTATCAAGTTGCACCAATCAGCGGGCGCGACAGCTGCGAAAGGCAACGTGGGCGCGAAGCAGGGAGCGAAGGGCGGCGGAGCTGGGCGTGAAGGGCGGCGGATCGAACCACGACGGATCGTGGGGTCACCGCGTGTGCTTGGAAGATCGCGCAGCCGAGCAGATGGAGCTCCCGCTTCCTCGTCTTGCGTCCGATGGTGGAGGACCATGTGGGCGCCCGCCCTATACGCAGACAGCATCAGCGCAGCCCACGTGGCACAATCTCGGCTTCACGCACGCACGGGCTACTTGCAGTACGCCCTCGAGTAGCTTCAGCACCGTCCATTCTGAAGTGTTTCGAATCGGCGAGAAGACCAGCAGCTCCGACCAAGCATCTCTGCCAAAGGGGACGAGACCGTAAGCAGGCAGTCGGTGGTTGCCGCTCATCCGTTGTGACTGGCATTCGAGCAACGCTCCGAGCCGTCGCATTGTGGCCGCTCGTTTCCTACTACCGTTACTATGTCAGTCGATGGACGGCCAGGCTTTTGCTTGGCCAAGAATACCGAGCCCAGGTACATGCCATATCGCCTACCCACGATGATCTTTCGACTGCAGAACAGCTTACCGGTACCTAGCATGGCTCGCTGTGTGAAGAAAATCGGCGCAGTAAACCCAACAGACTGGCAGTACGAAGCCGAAGAGTTGTTGCATGGTCTGCAGCTTCGTCAGAAGCAGCCATGCCTTCCCGTTCGCGCGTCTGCTGGCGTTTGAACATTCGAAACTGAAGCGCCGACAATCATCTGAGTCGACGTCGTGCAGTGAATCGTAGCACGGCTGTGGTAACGACGTGGTGATGGCTGGAGGCAGCGACGGGCCTGCTGCCGGTGCTCTAATGTAGTATAGTTCGAGGCTATTCCCTTGGTGTGCAGGGCCAGGCAGGGGTGCATCACGTCTGTGTTAGTCAGAACTGCTACACAATACTAGTGCGTTGTATTTATCGTCTCGAAAGAAAAAGCCTGGCGAAGCTTGCTGGTTCTGCTGCGCGACAAGAAGACTTCGACGCGTCGCCACGCTTTCAAGTGTCCCAAAAAGAAACAGCGAGCGCAGCGAAAGTCTATTGCACATTATGCTACTTCTGTATCGACGAGTAGTCATGGTCAACTAATCGTCCTACCCTACCCCGCACAGTACGCGGTCGTGACACGCGTGATTAGAATCTTGAACGACAAATCCAAAACATAAACGTATCTCAATTTTAGCCAATCACCGTTGCGCATGCCGTCGTTTCGCATCAGACGATGACCATCATCTTGGTTTCAGTGCGACTGGCCTCCTGCGATGGAATTCCTTCGAGAGCAAAACCAGCGGTCAGGAATCAGTCGACTTGAAGAAAGGGGCAACAACGCCTTCTGGCCACATCTTCCTGGTATGTCGGCGTGAACACGCGCTCGTATGGTCGTCAAAACGCTTTGTCGGCGACGCGCGGCAGAGGGTCGCACTGCACGTTCGTGGCGCGTTCAGCGACCAATCAACCGATGAGCGATCGTCCCACACCGTTCGGGTCTCGTTGCTAAACTATCACCCAGAATACCAATCATCGACCGCCGCAAGGATCACCGAGAGCGATCAACCCCCGCACTGGCCAAAGCCATCAATTGCAAAAAGAAAAACATATCACGCTGGAAACTCCTTCCTTCGAGTCCAGTGCAGTTCTTGCTCCATGCGGCACTGCACCAGCCATCGCCAGTCGCCACCGACACGAAGGGCTTCGCGAACGCCAACGCGTGAAAGTATCTTGCGCCAGCTGGGGACGGGGCATCGCAGGCTCCGATTAGTACCTCGCGTGACAAAACGCGCCGAGAGACTTTGTCCCAGCTCTGGACGGTTTTGCCCATCCTTGGTCGACCCTTTTACAGTGGCAGCGGTTGCGACAGCAGACCGAGCCGGCGCCATCCTGTTTAGAAGACAGCGTTGGCTGTGGATCGTCGTCGGTCGGCGCCGTGCGGGAGCGATTGCCTTGCCTCGATTGCCATCGGCGTGGGCAAAACGTGGGCAAAACCCTTGTCCGGTCAAGCTTCGACGGACGAAACACGTGGCGACAACTCAAGAAAGTAAACAAGATTGGATTACACTGGTGGGCTCGCGACGCCAGCAGATGGCTCGTCGTTGGCATCTCAATTGCACTGCAAAGATATTCAATTGAGCTTCACATACAAATGGTGTATGTAAGCGCACTCAACGCTGGCGGCGTGTCTCAGAATGGCTCGCCACTCGGCCAGCGGTCACAGTCGTTCTTCTTGCAGCATGAACAAAGCCTCGATCAACTTCATCCTGGACGCGCGGCCGCCGAGTCGCAAGTGCCCCGTGCACGCGGCGCAGAAGGCCATGGAGAAGCGCTTGTACAACCGCGAGCGGCAGCAGCACCTCCGCCGCATCGAGAACCACGAGCGCCAAATGCTCAAGGTCCAGATCCATGAGATCGAGCTCGA